CCCCAAAACCCCAAAACCCCAAAACCCCAAAACCCCAGCAAACCTAAATCAAATTGATATGGGACAAATCTTTATTCAATCACGTTTGTATAAATCTTCCCTTTTGCTTTATAAATTGGAAGCCAGGCACAGTCAGGGCAACTGGTGACTTTGGGGCTACAGCTCTCACAGATTCTCTTATGGTAGCATGGCAGGAACACCACTGTTGCTCTATAGTACCCACACTTCCTGCATTCTTGGCCTAAAAATCAGCAGCTTTTCTTACCTTCGGTCGGTCCGTTCTGGTCAAGATCCTGCCTACATCTCTCTTTAAGCTTTTCACTGTACGCATCTAATAAGACTAACCCAGTGACTTACTTCTCTGATAACTATACAGTAAGGCACAAGGAAATACCTGAATGTCAAGAATAGAACTGATATGCAGAGGGAGACTCCAGCCTATAGAAGAAATTAGGGGTTATAGAGGTCTTAAGTGTTCGTAGATACTGAAATTGGGAAGGAAGAGTAGGGAATTTGAAGGATTTTAAGGAGATTTTGAGTAATGAGAGGGGGTAAGAGGTGCCTTTGATGGTGATTTAGGGATTTTGAGCGTTCTTACCAAATATTTGAGCATGTTCCGATTCCTATGGGATGAAATGAGTGGTTTTACCTCTTGTAGAACTTGAAAGCATTATCGAATAATTTCTCAGCACATCCTGAAGCGATTGAAAAGATATGAGCAATCTGAAGCTCATCTTCTTTAGAGTTGTAGTGGAGATATCCTCCGAGAGTGATGATCTCTCCTTCAAGAAGGACCATTCTTACATCGTTAAACTGAGCTTTATCGATGATTTGATTTATTGGAGAGTCGTTGAGCACTTTCTTGTAGTAATCGTTGTCATAAGCTATAGCTATTAGCAAGTAAACGAGGCAGTACTCTTAAGATAACGCAGATTAGTGTATTCTCCTCCATCATTCTTTACCATTATGGTTGGGCTAAAGTGTAACAAAGGAAGTACCTCTTTGAATCCCCAGCTGTTAAGTAAAAATCATTCTTAGACTGTCTCAACTCCCTTGTCTTGTACAGTGATCTGTCTATCTCATTGTAGAATTTGGCAATCTCTCTTGGTATAGGCACACTAGATCCTTCAGGATCACTAGCTGCAATTGGTTTTCCTGGAACTGCTGAAAATGCTCCTAGAAGGAAGTTTAGAAAGATCTTAAGCTCTCTTACTTTTGACATCAAAATTGTTCTCTTTCATTGTTGAAGCTGTAATGGTGGCTCCTCTTAACTTAACTGGAGTTAGCTGGCTTCCTTTATCTAGCTTGCTCATCAAGCTTTCCTTGGTTTCTTTGGAAAGATCTATCTCCTTCAGATCAGTGGGAGTTGGATACCAGAAGCTATAAATGAGTAAGAATTTGGGTGATAACTTACTTGCTGTTACGAGTTCCAAATAAGATTAGAGAAGTAGTGAAGAAAGTAAGACCAAGTGTTATATTACTTTCCTCATTTGCGATAAATGGATACTGATCGATCCATCTATTGATTGAGAGACTCATCTTTTAAATTTATTCTCAAAACTTTATTATAAGATTCATCTGATTCCTCTTAAAAGGGGTTTTGGGGTTTTGGGGTTTTGGGGTTTTGGGG